CGGACGACGCTGCCCCGGCCCTTCCGTTGTCGAATCTATCGAAGGCTGTGGGCGAGTCTCCTTTCTGGGTTTGCATCAGCAGGCACTCAGGCCATCGGCGGCTCCACATCAGGAACGGCTGCTGGGTGACTCCTGGTAGCTGCCATCGATTTGCTGAGGTCTGGGATGTGGATGCGTCGGTAGCTGATAGCTTTTGCAAGTTGTGTTACCGGGACAAGGATCCAGGTTCCTCCAGCTCCGGGGAATCGTCTTCTACGGAGCTCGGTGATTCCCTTTGACAGGGATCAGTGCATTTTGTGGTTTCAAGATCAGTGAGTCGTGCGTCTCGGGGCAAAACTCAATGGAGTCTCGATCACGAGTTGTGGATGCTATCAGTCTTGCTGATGCATGCTTTCAGCTGCTTTGCTTGGATTCAGTGTCGATCTCTGAGCAGACGTTGTGCTCAGACTGTCAGACATGTCAGTTGGATGGACATCAGTGACTTTCAGCTCCCCTACGGGGATTCAGGCTCTCTCAGCCTTGCCTTTCAGTCTAAGAGCGTCTGCTCTGCTTTCAGATGTTTTCAGATATCAGCTTGCATCGGATCACTCCTTGCCATCATGGCTGCTGCTGCTGACCCCGCGGCCCAGAGCCGCTATCTTAAAGAAAATGTGGACGCGGATTTCCTCTTTCTTTTGGAGGAACATGGGGTCGATCTTGCTTTGCAGTTTGCAATTGGTCAGCATTACAAGAGCATTCGCACCTTTGCTGCTTTTGCCGATGATCGTGGAACGGCTCGGACTGCTATCACTGCTGACTTTGGAGTTAAGCCAGACAGCGCCGCGGACCGAGCTCGCGTAGCCTGCGTTATCACTGCTTGGGAGGCTTCGAAACTCATCCGTGAGGAAGAGGCCAAGCTTCGTGCAGAGGCTAAGGTTTTGGGGGTTCAAAAACCCTTGGCATCATCCGATCGGGCGGCCATGCGAGCTGCGTTGGAGACCGTTCGGGGCTACAGTGTTCCCGAATCGGAGGAGCCGGCACCTGAGTACTTGGCACACAAGCTTGAGCAGATTGAGAATGGGGAGCCGACTGCGAGTTATCTGGATGAAGTCATTTCACGTAAGGAGTCCAACTCGCTTCAACTTCAGACATCCTTGGATAATCAGGGCCGGCTACGGGTCATGCGTCAGAAACCAAAGGGGCGACTTCCACAGAACACGGAGGAGCTGCGAGCAAAGCTGCGGCTGGAGGCTTCGGCTTGGGTCATGCTCTCAGCCAAGTGCAAGGGGCGTGCTTACCTTCAGGACCTCCGCTTGTCACATTTTGATCGTTATCTGGAGTTTCTTCTGGGTGACAAATGTTACAATATGCAAGTGGCCGGCGCGGCTCCTACAAGCTCGGCGGCACAAGCGGAGCGGCACGCTCTTGCTGTCCCATGGAACGTTTTGCTTCAGTATGAGTTTGAACTTCGTAAGTGGGCAATCAAGGAGGCTCATCGTGATGGTATTCCACTCGGGGATAAGTTGCATGAGGCCACACGCAACACGGAACTCAAGGAGTTGCACTTCACTTCTCAGGTGGCACTCTCCAAGCGCTCCGGACCTGTTGATCCCCCGCCCCCAGCCAAGTGGCCTCGCAAGGGCAAAGGTGAGAAAGGCGAGAAGGGCGGTAAGGATGGCAAGGG